AGCGAAGTGGTTGTGGAGGAAGAGAAATAAAATTTTCAAGGTATCCAGTACAGACTGGTAACATCTAGTACTCTTAATGTCATGCCCTGGAATGCCAGTTCTTCACTTGTCCCTGAATTTTTTTCCTGTGACCCTGAATTGATCTTTTGAGTTTTATTTATCCTTTCTGTAAGAATTTAATGTTCTTAGTACATCTAAGAAGAGGATAGCAATAGCTGGGAGAAGGTTGTAATTTTTCTGTTCATTTCAAGCTTTAGCATCTTCTGTAACTGTACAATGCTTATGAGTAGTATAGAGAAATAACTTACACTATTGTGGTAGTAGTATAACTTTTAAAAAGCTTACTGGTGTTTTTTACCAATCACTTTTCAGTACACTGACAATAAAGGGACCCCATGCACTGTAGGAAAAACATTCTTTTAGATCTGAAAATGACTTTACTGTTACTTGTTTGGCTTAAATACTTTGATTGTTGGTTTGGTTTTGAAAGCAGGGGTAAAAAAAGGTAATATGTATGTCCTTTTATATACTTTTTCTCTTGTGAGGCTGAGTTTTAACACCTGCCTATAACCATGGTCAGAACTCTTGTAAGTTAAGCATGGTGAGCCAAAATCTATCATCAGATATTTCAAAGAAAATCTCAATGCCAAAGCAAACTGAAGAATATTGGAGAAATTCCTGTTTTGGCATTGGGGGGGCGTGGTGGTGGTGCAGGGGAATCTATATTTGAAGTCAGTGCTTCCCAGCATTATCACATACCAGTCTCTGTTTCTGAAATCTATATCCGTAATTTTTAAGTGAGAAAACCGAATGGAATGGTTCCACTTAACAAGTGGTAGTGTAGCTGCATGGCAGTAGTGCTGTTTGATATAAATGTACATTTGTGAATTTAACTAACAGAATGTACAGTATTTATTTATGCAGGTGATTAAAATAATTTTTATTAAATAAATGGAATGACATACCTTTACTTCGAGGAAGAAAGATTGTGCGGTACTTTATTAGCAAATATGTACATGACTAATTTTTGCAGAGTTAGCTGATTGAAGGTAGTATAAAATGTTTTTTGAAATTGGGAAGGTGAGCACCTTTATAGCATTGTTTCTTTGAGTGTTTATGATATGTATGCGGCATTCAGAGAGAGAGAGATGTGAATGAATATCCACTGGTTTTTGTGATGGTTTTTTTCCCCAGTGCAGGAAAAGGAGAATGGAGTGAGGTTAAGTGATACTGACATAAAGTTGATAACTACTTATTTAATAAGTATTCGATTTAAACTAGAGAACTGACTTGTTCTAGAAATTGCAATTGTAAATAAAATAAAGAATCCTACAACTGGAAACCTGTAATTTTTTCAATCTGAAACAATCTCTGTTAATGTTCCTATCTAGTGCTCAATTCAGTTTGTGCCTCAGGACAGTATGGAAAATATGTGTTCAGCAGACATTTCTGATTTTTTTTCTTGAACAGCGGAGTTGGATCGCTGTCCTGAGTCAGTTCTAGTAAAACTGCGGCATGCTCAACTTGATCTGTCTTTCCACTGCTGGCGTCACTTGCCTTTGCCTGCCAGGGAGGAAATTGGGCTGGTTTGGTCTCTTCTGGTACAATGGTTTAATTCACCTCAGTTTTTGTTGTGTTTACCCAGTTACTGGGTCTTGGCTCCCATGAGCCAAGTAAAAGCAGGGACTGTGCCAGAGATATGAGACATTTTGAACTTGAATATTGCTGCACCTGAGGGTTTTGACATAATGGAGAGTTTGCAGTGCAATCATCTCACAGCGAAATCTTTTAATCTCATTATAATTTCTGCAATTAGCATATAACTGACCTGAGACGTGGCCCATTGGTGTGCCGGAAGGAAACTCTAAATGTAGGTGGAAAAAATAAAAAAAAAAAAGTGTTGTTTCCTGTTCCAAAGCAGCAATTTATTTTTATTGTTGAAGATACCAGGTCTACTGCGTGGTACCAGGTTGGTGTACTGGAGTCCCTGTATTCTTGTTACAGGGTAGGCAGAGGTGTGCTCTAATGGCTGTGCTGGTGTGAGAGGTTACTCTTAGTGTATCCATTGCTATTGCTTTAAATTAGATGTCCTTTAGTGTTCAGTCTAGGAAATAGGCTGGCTTAACTGTAAATATATTATTCCCTTCCACCCCATCAAATTGTTTGGAATCTGTCCACAGACTAATCTATGTGTACGTGGGACCTTCAGGAGCTGTTCACAGCAGTCCTTGATGCCAGGCTTTTCTCCATGTATTTCCAATGACAAAATACAAGGAGACCATAGGAGTGGCTATACTGTCTGTGCAATACCGAAAATAGTCATAAACAAAGAGAGCTTTTCATTGGGAAGCCAGAACAAAAGAAAATGCTAATCTTCTGTAGTAGGAAATGTCAGATTTTCTCTCTTTAGCATAAAAATAGTCATCTTCTGACAACATATAAAAGTGAACCTGAAATTTTATACATGTTAAAACTGTCACTGGTGTAAGAAAAGCAAACTATCATTTTAATCGTAAAAGCTTTGTGGAGGCAGAATAATAGTGCTCTCTTAACTGTCCTTAAAAGGTTATGGTTTTTGCGTGTTTTTAACACTGTGGAAAACTTGATGCTGTTTTGATGACACTGAACCCTGCTTTGGGATAAAATAATCAAGATTCTAAAAGAAGCCGTAGTCTTTGATTTTTTTCCTGTGGTACACAAAGTATGTCAGAGTTTTCTGTAGTACGTTAATTCTGTTCAAAGATGTTAAAATGTTATTCTTACATTTAAGAAATGGGTGTAGTAGTCAAAAGGTGGAGAAGAAAGTCTGCATATGCAAGACAGTGCCTGAAACAAAATCGTGTATTTACTTACTAACGGTGTTGATTAAAAGTATCTGAATCTGTGTATGACACTATTTAAACATTTATTTGAAACTGTTACGACCTAGATGAGGTGCTTTTACTGCAAACTTATCAAATTATATTTTGAATTTAGTATTTCTCTTGTAATAAATCACTTTGTAGCAGGAACTGAACTCACTGATTTTGGCCCTCTTGTCTTTCAGTATCTTGGAACTGGTAGGTATTTGTCTGTGTCCAAACCAAGACAATAAATAGTAGTGAGTTTTCCTGTTTCTTAGGGCCCAAATTTGCTTGCCAAATTTGAGTAGTTACTCAGTTAAACTAGCTCAATAATCTAGAGATAAGGACAAACGTACTGTTGCAGGGCAAATGACCATCTAGAGCAGTATTCTGTCGCCACTGGTGGCACAGGCAGGCCCACATGGAAAAGTGAAGAACAGGGTAAAATGTACGAACATTTTCAGTTCAGGGAGTTGCATGAATTTGTTGTTTATTTAATAAACCAGAATGAATCTCTGTTCCAAATGCCTGTCTCCCCTTAAGGTGATAAAAATTTCTTGCATCCATGGTGTCCTTTGACAAGTGAAGTATATGCTGCCCTTATTTCCCGGAAGGGTTGCTGCTGTCAAAAATTGCTTAAAGGTTTGAAAATGAAGTTTCTTGAATTCTCAGGTTTGTCATTCAGTGATTTTGAACCTCTTCAAGCTTGATGTATGAAACACTGCGTCAGTGTTATTTTTATAAGGATCATGCCATGTAATAGAAGTTTAGGTCTCAATCTAAACTGTAAAATTCAAAATAATCTTGCTTTTAATCTTTAGCTTCTTGCTAAGCTGAGCACTGTCTCCTCACTGATAGATTTGGCTGAAAACTCTATGGAGTTAGCCTGATTATTTTTCCCCCCAACCGCTTCTTTCTTCTGATTTCCTTTGTCATTACAAAAGAATACACAATAATAATTTTGATCTTGTTTTTCTGGTATTATTCTCAGTTATGTGTTTTAATACAGACAGAGGGTGGTTGTAAATGCTCAAAAGAAGCTGAATTCTTGAGTATTTGCTGAGAAAGCATCGTTCTTTGTATTCTCGTCGTGCCGAGATACTCAAAAGTTGCTGAAAAATGATAGGATCGTTAAGATTTTGGTAGCATGTCCTTAATAAATCTGACTCTCTGATGCACGTGCTTTGATGTGGTATAAAGGCTTATCTAATTCTTAAATGTTTAAAGAATGGAATAGAAAGGTCCCTGGTTGTATCAGGAAAAATACAAGTATCAGTTGAGGGGAAGAGGAATGGGAAAGCATGAAGCATTCAGAATAAAATTACTTTGGTTGTTAATGGTGAAGGGGAGCATAGTGTTTTGGTTTTGTTCTGTGTGAAGTTCAGGTTGGTTGGTTTTTTGTGTTGAGACTGAAGCAACTCACAAAGACGGTAACTTGGTTACAGTGAAAGGGAGAAAGAATACTGTTTACTAAAGGTTGGCTTAGTGTTGAAATGTATGTGAATAGTGAAAGTCAGGAAGTTCATCCATAAATTAGAGATAAAGTTTAAATACCTTGTATACCTAACAGCATGAACAAAGAAGCAATGAAACAAGGGATCCTCCATCTCAGAATTTTTCAGTTTAAATGTGTGCCTTTATGGAAGATAGCCTTGGTCGAGAATAGATGACTGGGGTTAGTTCGGGAGCACTGCCTGAACAGTTACGTAGCTTGTGTCCTGTGGGAGTATAAAACAGCTTAGCTAAAAAGTTCCATCGGCTTTTGGTCCGTGTTAAGTAGGTATAGGTAACTTAAAGCGCTTGAATGTTTTGTAAGAATGCGAAGTAAAGTGGGTGGGGACTTGATGGTCGGTTAAGATTAGGTAACCTCTGTAGATGTGTATTTTTTCAGAATTGGCTAAAAAAAAAAAAAAAACAAAACTGCTTACCCTCCATCTTAGCATGTAATAGCCCTCTGGAATGTCAAGTTTTAACTTTGAATAAACACTTATTGGCTGGCAAGTAAGTGGATGAAAGCTTTATATTGAAGCTTTTTTTTTAAAAAAAAGATTTGTATGAGATTTGTGTAGTGGAAAATATATCATGATTATTCAAGATGATTTCTTTGAATTTGTAATAATAAATAGCATTTGTAATTTTGATTTGTTTATTTTGCAGCTCCAGTTGTGAACCGATACAACAGAAGAGTATCAGGTATGATTTCCTTTTAAGAATTTAATGTTTCTGAAAAAGTTTTGAAATGTGTATTTGAAAAAAGGAATTACACTAAAAATTACCTTGCTCTTCATCACTGCCTTTTCTCATACTTCTTGCAGTATTTTTATTTGAAATAATGAGAATTATTTCTTAATTCACTACAGAAACCAATGGGCAATACATCGAGAGTAGTTTAGAAAACAGTTCTGTCAGTGATCACAGACTATTGAAGCAACTTCAGCAGTAGTAATGATTCTGTCCAGAAAAACTTTCCAGAACTTTTATGCAACATAATAATTACGGCAAAGGCTTGCTTTGCAGCAAATTGAGAAAGTGGCAGCTTGTTTCTGCTGGAACACATCTCTTGATCTTCCGTGTTGCCAAGAATTTTATATATGGTTAGAATACAGAAATATGGGGGCTGGAGGGTGTCCCATCTTTGTGTTGCTTTAGCCCCTTGCTTGTGCAACTGATATTTAAAGTTGTTGAATTTGTGGCTGTTCACTTGTTCTGGAGGCACAGTTTATACTTTTTTGTTTGTTTTCTATCTTAACCAATATGAAATGCTTTAATGAGTATCTGTTATTCCCAAGAAATTCTTTTTTTTTTAAGCTGTTTTTGAACAGTGTCATGTGAACAAAATGTTATGTGTAGATGAGAAGGTATTGTATTTTTTCATTTGAGGTACAGTGTGGATTGCTTTGCATGTGTTGCTTTTTTTCGTCAAATATTTAATTGTAACATTTAGTTGGTCTAGAAAGTCGCTATGGTTCTGATTTGAAAAATGTCTCTATAAAAATACCAATATGTTCAGTGTTCTCTCTCTAGTTTTGAGTTCAGGTCTACTCTGTAACTTGTGTATATGATCTCATATGTTCTTTGTTATGATAGTTATGGTGGGGCATTGATGATTATATATATGGTATATAAATATATATGAGATAAATACATGTTTAATTTTATATGCAAAATGTCCTTATACCCATGCAGTTCAGTTGCTTTACTACTAGTTGCTTGGGTATGATTAGTAGTATGACTGTGTATTTATGCCACTACATGAAAGTAATTGTGAGTATAATGAGAACTTCATAACTCTTAAAAATTGACAGTTCTGGTAGTTTTGGTGTATTATTACAGTTTTGTCTTGCCTCAGTTTCTCATGTATCTTGAATGATGGAGTTTGCTCTGACAGTAAATATTGGAAGTCACAGATTGGAGAGTATCTTAATCTGGAGAGTCCCAAGACATTTTCATTTCTCTGCTGATTAAACTAATCCATTCTGGACTGGTAGTTTTGGTGTATTATTACATGAGAAACTGAGGCAAGACAAAACTGTATCTTGAATGATGGAGTTTGATGCTCTGACAGTAAATATTGGAAGTCACAGATTGGAGAGTATCTTAATCTGGAGAGTCCCAAGACATTTTCATTTCTCTGCTGATTAAACTAATCCATTCTGGAACCTACTGATGGAGTAAAATCTTACAAATGAGAAGTGAATACATCTCAGATTTATATTTAAATAAAGGCTGAATTGTTCCCGAAGTTGAAAAGTTGAGCCTTAATTAGAGGGTAGTTGTAATCTTTTAATATCTTCAATACTGAAATGTTATATTGGTGCTCTCATGGTACTGAGCTACTTCCAGTTAAAAAACAGGTTCCTTCATTGAAGTGGTCTAAAGGTTAATGTGAAAAACTAAACAGCAAATGTAAAATTGAATTGCTAATTTACGCAATTAGATTAAGGAGGACTGCTTAGATGATTAATAACACTCCTGCTCCAAAGAGAGCTACAATAATTCAGAATTTACAGTACATGTTAGAATTCTCATGGAGACAATAATTAATAGAATATGTGTATTTTACTACGTCTTAAATACTTCTCACAATTAAAAAAATATTTTTTTCTCTGCTTTCTATTTATACACTGTACAGGTCATGATCAATGTGGGATTTGTTAAAATGCAATGTAGATGCAAACTGCATCCATGCATATACAAGGAGACCTCGTTTTCCTTCTCTTGGCAGGAAAAGTACAGAAACCTATTGGTGTGGGGTGGGGAGTTGTTTGGTTGAGTTGTGTGGCTGCTTTTTTTGGTTGGTTGGTTTTTTCCCACTCCATACCTGCTGTGTCTGTCAAGAAGTTACCCAAATAGGAACAAGTCTGGCAGGGTTCTCATTGATTATTGAACTCAACCCTCCTACTGTCATAGGCAACCACATTTTGTAATCCTTCACATAAAACGAATGACTGATTTGTTGGTTTTGGTGCTCTTTCATTTGATTTCCTTATTAGATGTGTTAGAATGAAAAGTTTCTTAAAACCTGTAATTTTTGAGACTTCTTTTTTCTTTACAAACCAACAAATAACAAACCAACATTGCATTATGGATTACATATCTAAATGTATCTGATTTTAACGAATTAAGTAAAGCAGAACAAACCATGGAGAAGAAGAGCTGACACACATTTTTTTGTAATTGCATTTAGTGTAGTCTTTTCTGGTCTTCTATTCAGAAGAACTTTATGCTAGTCCGTGTTGAACCTTGTCACTCCTGCCGGCTATTGTCATGTTTCCAGTGCAGTGTACATTTGTAAGGGGAGTAAAGAGCAGGGCTAAATTGTTTGCCGGTACCAAGATTTGCATGCATAAAATTGTAGATTTACAATACTCTGGAAGGACAAAATGTGAGAATAATTAAAAAACTAACATTGGACATACTGAAGAAAAGACTTAAAATTCAGACAAGACTTTTTATTTTCTTTTAAGCATTTGGCTGTCTAGGGAATTATGATATTGCTCTCGTTGTTCAGTAGGTCAAGAGTGAAAGTTAGAAAAAATATAATTCTAATTAAAGGAAAAGATAATACAAGTAATTGTCTACGTTATACATACAGTTTAGGACAGGCTAATTATTGTTCCGGTAAATGATTCAACTGGATATATCTTCTTGGAGACTAACAATTGTTTATGACCGTCTCTTACACATAGGAGTTACAGAATTTCTTTTAAATTGCTTTATTAAAGTACTCAATATTAGATTTGGTATATTTATTTCTGGTCAGTTGTGATTAGCTGCCTAAAGATGACAGGATGCTCATGATTCCCTTGGTGCACTAATGCAAATTCAAAGGATACGTAAACCCATAGAAAAAACCTGCTGTAATGATTACTGAATTTTCATTTAGGTGTTTTAGTTATGAAGCATCTAAACCTGAGGCTCTTGACTCTACTGGCAAATATTGCTTTAATAATTGTAAACATTTAGCTGTCATTCTTCAAGACTTACTCGAAATACGAGTCTTCTGACCCATGGCAAGAATTGGTCAGCAAGTTTATCGTTGTGCTTTTTGAAAACTTTTAGCAAATTAGTTTACTTCTAACTTATGCAGTACCTCAGTAGAATACTTCAAGAAATCAGGATTTAAGAAAACTGCTTGACAAATGGTAATCTATTAGAAAGGTCAAGGTGACTTTGTACATTAAAGCATATCGTTTATATTCTTTTTGTCCAAAAGAAGAATGAATTTTATTCCTACATTTCTCAAATCATTGACCAAAAGTGATGATACTGCTTTCATATCCCATAAGTAATAGTAGCACATTCTCACATACTACTACTTCTCTCTCACTCCAGTAGTACTGAGAACACAGAGATTCATTATGCTCACTTATGCTCCCCATTTCTGCAACATTTACTACTTATTCCTCTCCTAGGCTGATGTGTTCCCTGAGGGGGAGGGATAGTGTTGGCTTGCTTGGCATTAAACTCTTCCAAACTGTTCGACAGCTATAAAGGCTCTGCAGGGAATCCCATTTGCTTCTTGACCAGAGAAACACGGCTTTGTGTCCTGGTCGGAGATTCAGCCAGCAAAGCAGGGGTCCATGGGTGGGATAGTGAGAAACTTGCATAGACTGTGCAGGAGGATCATCCTAGAAAAGGGGGACTTATCTAATCGTGTTCATGGAATTATTTATAGAAGTGCAGAGTGGTAAAGTAGTGTTCTCATGAAGAGAAACAGCCTTTTCCAGGAAATACTAGGAGAGAGAAAGAGAAATGAGAGCTTGATGTTCCCCTAGAAATTTATCTAATGAATAGATTACTTGTGCATTGCATGTTTGGCCATGTAACCTGTTGAGGTTTCATGGCGTGCACACAAACCCCAAGCATTGTGCCAGTCATTTCTAGTTTGTATACAAGGTGGTGACTGACTTGATTAAAATAATACTCTGTTTGCAAAATCATAATCTATCCCTATGTAGAAACTAAAAAGAAAAAAAAAATCCCAAACTCCAAGCCACTAATTTTAAAATCTCCTAGCTATAGGGTGCCATAAACTGTGGTGCCATGGGCAATTTCAGTGCTAATTACCCGGTAGAACAGTCTTCTTGCTGCTGCTTTAAGTGAATTAGCAATGTCTGAGCCTACTGCTAGTGTGAGTAACTCATGTTACACAGCTTGCTGACTGACTCAGTCTGCCCAGGCTTGGTTTGGATGACCTGAAAACCATACTGATTCCTTCTTCCCAAGAGTTGGACTGTGTTGAAATTCATACTTGCTTGATTACATTTCTTGATCTTCCTCCAAGTATAGGGGCTCCTGACAAACTTTGTTTTGTTAGTCACTTCCTTTCCTGTAGTGAAAGAGACTGCGGAGAATACCAGTGAATATCTCAGCCCTTGGTTAGTGACTACAGGGTGCGGGGAGGTGGGAGAAATCAGTGATACCTCCTTTCTGAAAGCTATTTCAAAACTAGAGGGAAGAGAGCATTGATATTTGTCCCACTATAACAACTGATACGTAACAGTGAGGAGAATTTTGCTCCTGGCAGCATTTGAATGAAAGTTAATTGTGGTTTTGGAATGAAGAGTGTTACGCCTACTACAGTCTCGCTTGGGCATAGTTTCTCCTCTTTTAGTTTTAGCATGTTTCAGAAAAGTAAAGTTTTTATGCTAGATTTCTGTATTGCCATTTCTAGATACCTTTGATTCATT